AACGTTTTTTTGAAGAATATACCTGATCATTTTTACGCATTTAATAGGTTAGCTGAAACTTGTTCGATTTTTCAGTTGGAACTGTTGTGACAAAAAGAAAGCGAGGCAATTTAAATATAAAAAATTCAATTTCCTATTTATAAAAATAGGTGTGCTTTCAGTCTCTCAACCATTTTGTGACGTCAATTTTAGTTTGATCGAAAATTAAAAATTCTCAGTTTCGATTACGAATAGTAGTTAACGGTAGATGTAGACATTAGAGAGTTTTTGCAAACCGTAAAAAAGTTTGACGTATTACGACAAATGGGCATTGCTAAAAATCAAAAAATACGTAAACGTCTTTGAATTAACGGAAAACGCCTTTCGCCCTTGAAAGACGTACACACGACAATTAAATGACGTTGTTGTTAAGGTTAACGTTAAACTAAACTATTTGCAAAAACTCTCTATTATTTTTTAATAGATATTTAGTTGCCAACAACGAGTTTTCTATTACTTTGTCTGTTATCACTTTTGCAAATGATTAATTGATTAATATTCAATACTAAAATCACCACTTCGTTTTTTGGTTTTACATTTTCTTATAAAAAGCTCATAATAAAATAGTTATCCTTGAACAAATGACTGACGACCTTAACATGGTCTTTATGATTATGAAGTTAGTTTTTTTTCAAATTTCGTAACTTGTGACTTTGCCAGAAATGTAAAATTTCTAGGTGTGTACAAATTAGCATTATTCATTTTAATTTCAATACTTAACATTCTTAATTTTCCTATCAAAAGCTACTTTTTTTCCAATTCAAAGGAGTATAAAAAAAAGCAATTTTTCATAAGACCAATCCGAAGTCACGAATTCAAATTTAAAAAACGAGTGGCGCAGCTACGAGTTATTTTAAAGAATGAGTGGTTCAAGGTCTTATAAAACAAGCTTTTTATACTATTTTTTGTAATTTGTCCTCTAATTTTAAATGATTTAATCGTCTTTTAACTATTAAGAAGTCGCGTTCTTTAATATGTCTATTACAGAATCAAAATGGAGGCAAATTACACAAAACTATATTAAAAGCACATTAATGAATAATAAATATAGTACATCATTTTATTTCGCGTTTCCTATGACGGCTTTATGACATTATTTTTTCAAAAAAAACAGTGCTACAAAATACACCTTTGTAACACTGCTTTTAACAACTTTTTATGCAATACTTTTGCCATAACTGACTGCATTTTTAAGTGAGAAATTGTTGTGGATCAACATATTTCACCGAAACTAGTGCAATTTTAGCAATTTTCAAGTTCAATAAAAAAACTTGTATAAAAATGTGTTACAACCTCTCACTGTGATGTCGTTTATTGTAATCGTTTGGAACGAATAAGATTACGAAAAGAAAAAAAAATGTATCTTTGATTTTACGCCAAAACTGTTAAGGAAAACATTTTTTGCTTCACCTGCAACGAGCAAATCTATAATTAAAACTTCATTATTCTGATTCAGTGAAAAGAAAAGTTTATTTTTCTCTTCATTTTGGTTTGGGCTTAGAATAATTTTTCTCTGTTTTTTAAGTCCTATCACAATGACGGTTTTATTTATTTGACAACTATATCTCACTTTGACAATTTATTTATTAATTAAATAATAATAGTTCTTGTTTAAAAATTACTTTGTTTTTATCTTAAGGCGGTAGTGTAGTTCAAAGTTTCGCATGTCGCATTAGTGAAATCTTTTTGTGGTATGGGTTAGACAGAGTTAGACTTGTGCGACGAAAGAGAACAAGTAACTCTTCGGCACTCTATCCTTGTCTGACCCTTCTACCGTAACAAAAATAATGTTCGTGACAAGTCAGGTGTAGGACGATTGTATTTTCCTAATTATTTGTTTATTTAAAATATAAACATACAGCTGTCAACGAATGTTCAATTAAAAAATATCCATTATGCATTATGGGCGGTGAGTGAGTTTTGTTAAAATGTTTTATAAATTCGGTAGAGCAAGACAAAATACCCTTTTTGCCGGATATTTACGATTTTTTATATTTTTTTCCTCTACTCAAAATATTGTAACAAACGGACCGTGAAAATCTTAATCTATTTCGATAATAAATAAAAGATTAAAAGGTATAATTGGAACACCTTGCAGAGTACATTTTAAGACAAGTAAAGTACCGCCTTAAAGCTGCTTCTTTGAGTTGCTATTTATTAAAATTATGTTTTTCAGAAACATTTTTGTTATTTAACTTGCGTAAACTCATTTGTCAAAGTGACGTCATTGTCAAATAAATAAAACCGCCCATGTGATAGGATTAAAAAGCAGAGAAAAATTATTTCAAGTCCAAAATCAACAGAAAAATGAATTTTTCTTTTTACTGAGTTAGAATAATAAAGTTTTAATTACAGATTTGCTCGTTTCAGATGAAACAAAAAATGTTTTTCCTTTACAGCTTTGGCGTAAAATCAAAGATAAACATTTTTTTCCTATTGTGAACTCAATCCGGAGACATACTGTACTATATCACAATCACTTTATTTTAAATTTGCTAATAAGATGGGAGCAGGTGAGCTTTGGTTCAAATCGAACCTATATTTCAGTCCATAACTACCAATAATAATAATTTATAAGTTTAATATCACTTGTGAAATAAAGTTATAGGTAATGACGTCAGAGCAAATTGAACTCACCGCCTTATTTAAAATTTGAGTTCATAAAAAATTAATTCCTACCTAATTTCCTACCTCGTAAAACGAAACTTCGTGTGCTCAAAACATAATACATACAGGGTTATTCATAAATATGAAGCAATATTTGTACCTCAAAAATGACCTATAAAATGATGTTAATTTAACTAATAACTCGTGTCCTATCTCTACTGATAAGAATTTTACAGTCCTCGGAATGTGGGTACGGAAATTTGATTTTTTTGTAATAACTTTGGAACTATTGGACCAAATATTATAAAATTTGGAACATTTCCCTGTGACAACATACCCTTTAAACTGGTAATCACGAAAACCGGATCCATCCACTCAATTTCCGGTTCCAGCAGTTGCTGGTCACATTTTCTGTGTTTTTCCATTTGTTTGCTCTCTTAACACCAATTTTTTATTGCCCAAATCGATAGAGTTATCAATTTCGATTAAATTTTTTTTTTAATAATTTAATACCATTACAATGGACCGTTTCAAAGATATTTTAATTTAAACTGAGGACTGCACAACGCTGAAACCAAAAAGTAGGGATTTTGAATGGATGATATCCACGGTAACAAATGACCATGGTCTCACTAATCGCTGTCAGGCATCTGTCAACTTTGACATTGGACGATTATTAGACAATTAATCGAAAATATTTAATAAAAAAGTTTACCTCAGATTCCAAACATAACTTAGAATAAATCCAAATGGATCACGTAGCATTTAATTCATAAAAAATTCACAAAACTTTATCGTCAAAGTTAACAGATGCCTGGCAGGGATTTATGTGACCATGGTTATTGGTTGCCGTCGATACCACTTATTCAAAATCCCTATTTTGTGATTTCAGCGTTGTGCAGTCCTCAGTTTAAAAAAAATATCTTTGAAATGGTCCATTTTAGGAGTATTAAAGGTTATGAGTTTTTTATTCGAAATTGATTACTCTATCGATTTGGGCAATAAAAAATTGGTGTTAAAGAGAGCAAAAAAATGGAAAAACACAGAAAATGTGACCTGCAACTGCTGGAACCGGAAATTGAGTGGATGTATCCGGTTGTCGTGATTACCAATTCAAAGGGTATGTTGTCACAGGGAAATGTTCCAAATTTTATAATATTTGGTCAAATAGTTCCAAAGTTATTACAAAAAAATCAAATTTCCATACCCACATTCCGAGGGCTGTAAAATTCTTATCAGTAGAGATAGGACACGAGTTATTATTTAAATTAACATCATTTTATAGGTCATTTTTGAGGTTCAAATATTGCTTCATATTTATGAATAACCCTGTATATTTACATATACTTGATTACAAAAGAAACGCTTATTGTCAAAAACAAAATTGTCAAATTTTTCAGAGATTTAGATACATAGTGTGAAAAAGTTGTTCCCAAAAAAATAAGAAAACTATCAAAAAAAAATGTCGTATTTGGTGGTCTGGCAAGTGCGTGGCATAGTCAGTGTCAAAAACGAAATGGAAAAACTTGGTAGAAGTTTGGAAGATGCCTGACAATTATGAAATTGTGAATTGTAACAAAGTAAACGTCAAAAAACTGGCCTTTGTTAACAGGCCAAATTACATTATAAAATAAAAACAATTTGCGTTTCTTTGCACTCAAGTGTACCTAATACCTATTTGTAAAGGAAAAAGTAAATAACATTTTGATTTGACATTTTTCATTTTCTTCACACACGCTTCGGTCGGTTAAAACGATAGAAACATAAAATATGTGTAACATTTTGAAAGGACATGATACCTATTCCCAACATCAAGTTTCTATGCAAGAACCCATTCGGTTACAAGGACTAAAAACACGTGACTTCATTTGGTAATTCTGTGAGTACGAGCACTAGCAAGTTCAATGCTCTAAAGCTAATTGATTACATTTTAATTTTGTTAAAATTTGGAAAATTTTCAAGCCATTTCAGAGATTGTTGTATTGAAAGCTGTAAACGACTGGGTAATACCCAATCACTTCCACTCATTACGATTATATTACAAGCTTTAAATATAGAGTGAATGTGAATAAATAAGTTCAATGTTGTTTGTAAAATTTATACGTTCAATTGTCTCCGCTCAATATTACATAACGGGAACTATCGTAAAAGCAAATTACAAAATTGAATTAAATATCTGGCCGGCCAGATAATCGCATACGTCAGAATTTTAAGGTTAGTTTTCTCAAAGACATTCAATCCCAGATGACAGGCCTACTTCGATCAGGATACAGGTGTTTAAAATTCGGAAAATCGACCGGAAAAGGCTGGAGTTGTGTAAATACAAAAATACATCCGACACGTTTTCTACTTACAAATTAGGAAAAGGGGCAAACGTAGGTCTTAATTGTGACGATCACAGCCGGAAAAATCACCAGAACGAAAAAGAATTCATTCAGAAATTGAAAAAACTAATACTAAAACACACACGAAAACTAAAAACGGCTGTGGTGAATTCGTTGACAACACTCCCTATGTACACACCACGAACTGACGGCGAATACGCTTCCACAGTTAATATGTATAAGGGGGTGTCACGTGACCGGACCCGGCGTGCGGCTAGAAAAAAGTTTTGAGTTGACTCTTCAAGCCATGAAAGTTTACAACGGGTTACCAATGACACGACGTATGGCTGGGGAAAGACCTTTGGGAGCAAAACTGATTTCCGCTGTTTCTTCTCTTTTTAGGGAAATTATTACCAGTTTATAAATATTACCCTTTAACACCCTAGGCAAGTGTGTTCGTCTGTGCAGATAGATGGTTAGAGATTATATGAAGTGGTGAGAGCAATCGACGGGTGATGGGTAATCTCGAAGAGTGTCATGCCAGGGAGATACAGAGAATATACAAGGTGTTTAGGTATTGAGGTTGAATTTAAATGATATATTTATGGTACGCTACGTAAAACAAAAATTCACATTGTGAAAGGAAATAATTCATTTTATATTATTTGTTTGAGAACTGCTACTACGGCTGCAATAATGGCCATTAGTATCATTATTTATGTTTTACCGTAAATCACAATCACAACCAATTTATTATTTTAATATTTTATGTTCATAAATTTAGAAAAAAATAAGAAAAACGAATCAAACCTATTGAAAACCATTTCGCTGGAAGAGATTAAACAGAAGATTTTCGAATTTTTATAAAAACTAAAACAAAAGCAAATCAAACAGTGACAGTGTCAAAACTATGAAGTGACTTTTCTCTTTCATTGTCATGTATACGATTTTTTCATTTGTTGCAACTATACAATTTTATCTACTAGGAAATGATTCCAGTGATCCTCAAATTATGTACCAATATTTTGGGTTAATTAATATTCTTAATAATAACAAATGTGTGAGTTCTTTTGCCCAACGCCTAAATCCGCCTTTATTCGTAGACGTCATTTTTCAAACGTATTATTGAATAGAGTTTCCAGAACTGTTATTTTACGATCGTGAACATCACCTCCGCCTGTTTTTGCCATTTGACAGTTTCTAACATTTTGGTACTAAAGTCAAAAATTTAAGTTTCTCCCTGGCATTAGAGCTTGAATTATGATTATTACACGGGCGGACACGGAATTTTGGACGATTTGTCATCCGACTGACATAAAAATGTAAAACGGGCCTTAGGCAACTAACCTCTTTTTCGGTTTTTGTAATTTTGATCTTCATAGGAAGAGAAAAAATGACTTCAAATCAAAATAATTTATTGAATTTATATGAAAACACGTATTGCTGGCATTATTGTTTCGGAAAGTCGACGCCAAAATTAAATTTCAACTAAAACTTTCAAATTTTGGTTTCAAACATCAATCATATTGACAATAAAGTGTGGCTTACATTGACATTTTTTGAAGTGACATAAATTTGATGTCCAAAAATTCCGTGTCCGCTAGTGTATGATGATATAAAAGGTATAAATATTAAAAACAGTTTTGTCAATTATAAATGAAATTACAAATGACGTACAGTGACGGACAGTGAATTTCGTCTACCTTTTTTCCGTGAATTCGCCAAATCACTGTAGTCTGTGCTTTATTGTCATAAAAATTGACATTCGAATACGTATTGTTAAATTTATTCAAATTCTTATTCATTTTGGGGCGAAATTTCAAACTGAAAATGGATTGATACTATACCTCAAGCATTGTAAGATAATAAAGCACAGGTAAAAAGTACCAAAGGAGAATCGGGCAACATGACAAACGTTAATAAAAATTCTGAAACAAGGTTAGAAAAACCAAACTACTTTACACTTTTAGTCTTTCATAGAAATTGGGCGGACGAAATTCATTGTCCGTCACTGTACGTCACTAGCTCTTCTTCCATTTGTCCTAAAAAGGCGGGCATTTTTTTTCTCATAAATTGACGATAAAGTGAGAAAAAGACCCAGATTTCAATCTGACTGTGACCACGAAAGCCTATGAACGTTCTTACGTTTTTCCAGCTCTGCCGTATAATAAAGTGAGATACGTATAAATAGCGTGACCGACGTTACACAAATACGTAGCGACAGAGCAACGAAGCTGTTTACAAATGATGAAAAGAGATAACTACAAGTACGTTTTTCGAATTATTAATTTGATTCACACGCATATAATAAAAAAATAATAAAAAAACAGAGATTAAAATTTGTTTATCCAAAAAAAGTCCAAAAAGACCGATAGAAATAATTGCTATTAAGACAACTAGAGTTTTATAGATAGTTTAAAAATCAAGGTCGTAATTTAAATTCGAGCGACTAAGCTAAGATTTTATTTTATTTATAAAACTCGTGTTGTCTTCAACATTTTATGCAACACTAATATTGAATCAAAAATTTTACTAAATGCAAAATCGACAAAAAATATGCATCAAAATAAAAATAATTTTTTGACATCTAGATAACATACGAACTGCCGTGCAACATACGTCCTCAACTAAGACGTCTACTTGATCGAAAGACTTTTTGATCGCACTGTAGATGAAGCGTATTTTAACAGCAACCCGCAACATAAGAGGTATTAGTGTTGCAAAAACGGTTTTTTTTAGATCCTGCATAGAACAATCAAAAAAGTGCTTGTAATAACACTCAAAAACACCCCAAAAAGATCATTTTCTATCTTTTTTTTGAAATTCCTTTAATAGATACTAAAACAGCAATCATATTTAGCATCTTAAAAAATATAAATTACATTCTTTTGAGTTTAAAGATAGAAAAAAAGTTTATATTTTGGATAGTGTAATTTGTCCAGTAAAATTATATTACTTTTTGAGTGAAACCCTAGGGAACCCAATTCCATTGTGATAGTTTCTAGTAACACCCCTTTATTAGAAAAGTCTTTTACTATCAATGACCATCATAATTTGGCAATGAAATTTTATTAGACAAAAAAAATTAAACAAAATTATTGTCTAAAATTGAGTAAAAGGCGTCCTTTACCTTTATGTAGGTATCCGTAGTAAAACTTGGTCACTAAAAGATATGTATAACACTGTTTCTTGCGTGTAGAATGTCAATATAATACACTTTTAACGCAAAAACCAAAAATACTTGTCAAGTAAAGTTTTTGATATTACTGGTTTTAGGCATTTTGTATTTGACATAAAACTGACAAATAATTAAAAACAATGAAAATTTTGTTTCTCTGTAAAAACTTGATATTAGTATATATTATTATTTGGAATGTTTTTGAATTCATTAAAGTGCAAATTCTAGTTAAGATTACAAAAAGTAATGACAAGGATGTTAATTTTAAATTCAAATGGTTTTATGTATATCTCAACTTTTTACATATTTTATTTTAAAATTAAACAAATCTACATTTTTAGGCAAATGACTTTCAGTTCTGATTGTTAAATGTTTTGTAATAAAAATGCTTTTTGCGCTTGTTTGTAGATGCTTCAATAGCAATCTCTGAGTCTTGCAAATCAAGAAGCGTCAGAAGTGTAATTCAAGACTCTACATAGAAGTATAAGTACACCAAACACCTTAAATGTTACTTAATTAGTAATTTTTACAATGCTAAGAATTTTAGTTAAGGACCATTATTTCTCTCGTCGCTAAGGGTGAATTACTCGAATATTTGGTGTAAAAGACAGAAATGCCGTATCTATTCCAGAAAATGTCAATTGCAATTAATTTCACCAATAGAAGATACGATAATCAAAAGAAACTCTGTCAATTTACATAATTTTCTGTCAGCAAGCTTTCAACTGCCCTTGAAATTATGCAAAGAATAATTTTTTAGCAAATTTGGCCTTGACTACCCTCTACCCAAACTGTACCGAAACGAGTTTTTGTACCCAATAGTACATTACAAGCGAGGTGGTAAATATGGCATTACCCCGAGTGTTTATGTATACGATCGAGAGGCACCAGACTCGAGATCGGGTAAAGCACAAGGGGTAATGCCATTACCACCGAGGTTTATATGCGATTTTATTCACAATAACATTATTTTCAGTCAAAAATTGGAGTAAAATAAAATTCTAACAATAATGTTAAGGTCCAAACGTGGTAGGTCATCCAAATGCGTTTGTTTTTTGTCATTTCAGAAATGTCAAAGAAAATATTAAAATAATGTATGAATCTGATTTAAAATCGTTGAAATGAAGCAGTGCACTCCCCCAGAAGTAAGAGAAACTGTTACAGAAGCAATTGAATAATACTAACTTAGCAAAATATTATGCGAAACTTAACAATTTTAAAGAAAAAATTCCCAGTATTTTTGAAATCTTAACGTTAGCAAACCTGCATATTACCGCTCAAGAGAAGTAATATTATTACTCCTCATTAGATATAATGATGTGTTTCCCAACCTTTAAAAGGTTAATAATCGGCATATTACATTAATGATTGTGATTAGAATATAAAAGTCTTTTGCGGTTAAGTGACAAAAAAAAGTGTTTCTTTTATGTTCTACAGCACTAATGTATTTTCCTTTCCTTTTCTTTGTGATACGCTTACAAAGATAAAATAATATAGGTATATCATTCAGAATATAGAAAGTTTCAAAATCTCGGTAGACATTGAAACTAGCCAGACTTTAATTTTAGTTCGAAAAAAGTTAATAGTGTGAACATTCTTTTAATCACAATACGTCATAAAAATGACATTTCTGTTGGATTCTGTTTGAAAAAATAACATAGTAAGTACAAAATGGAAAGGTTGAGAATAATTGAATCTGAAAAAAACAGTGAAATTTGAGGAAAGATCGAAGGAAAGAACAGAATGTAAGGTACTGCAAGAAAGTAGAAATGCAGTTAAAGAAGACAATGTGCTGAGATATGTATAAAACGAGTATAATTGCAAAATTCTGATGTGCACTCAGAACAGCAAAGAATGTGGAAATTGAGAGAGTGTTTTGATTGGAATACGAAGAGAGGTGTAAAATGTGTGGAAAGGAGAGTGAGACAATTGGACATTTACTGAATGGATGTGGTATCTCTAAGAAGGAAAGCAGGTTAAGCAAAAACTATTACATATTTATTAACTAGCAGTAGAACTTAAAATTAAATTTTTTTAAAT